GTGAGCTGACCCAAGAAATCCTGGTCAAGCTCCTCACCCTGGTTGGGAGGTCTGTAGTAGACTCCCACCGTTAATTCTCTTTCCCCTCGGCTGCCTTGTACTCTAACCCAAAGCACTTCAGAGTGCCCCTCCTCTGACTCCTTGCAAATTGACGAGGATGTGTATTCCTCCTTAATATAGAGTGCCACGCCCCCACCTCTCTTTCCTATCTTGTCCCTCCTGTACAGCCTATAGCCCTTGACATTCACCACCCAGTCATGCGTTGAGTCCCACCATGTTTCTGTGATCCCGTGATAAACTGATAGCAAAGTTTGTTTTTGCATTTTATTTTTTTTCCTGTAGTATTTTTTAGCTTTTATAACAAATAGAGACCTCTGATTGATCTAAATAACTTTGAAAATGTTGAGATGTCAGCAGGAAAATAAAAAGTAAGTATAAGGAGTTCCATATCTTCCTTCTTTCCTAAAAAATAATAGGAATAAGAGACAGCAAAGTGAAGAGTCTATCTTTGTTTTATAGTTCATGTTGGTTGTAACAGTGCTTTCTATCCCTTTAAAGAACTGCAAGCTTCCCAGCTGAACAGTCAAAGTCTGGTGCAGAAGATCTGTTCCTTGGGGAAGCTGTTTTCTTTGACTGTGGCCTGTGTCTTTCCAAAATTTAACTTATTGAATTCTGCTTTGATTTCCATGATTGACTTCCCTTTTGTCTCAGGGAGGAAGAGGTAGATGAAAATTGCTGACAAAGCAAGGATCCCCAAAAAGATAAGGAAGCAGAAAGATTTGAGGTATTCCTAAAAAACAAAAATAAGACAAGACTGTAAGAAAAAATAGCCTTTCTGACTTCCGTTTTCTTACCTCTTAGGAATCAGAAAAATTCTTAATCAGTAGCATAACTATGGGTGAGTAAACAGAGCATGAGCCCCAGGCACTGCCTAAGGAGGGGTGGGGAGAGGGGGGTCAGGGACATTAGGAATGGAGCCAAGGTGGTGCCTTACCCCCGATTCCTTCTTCCCTCCCCACCCTGTGCCTTCTATGCAGTGGCCCTGGCAGCAGGAAGGGCAGAATAGTGGCAGCAGTGCGCCTGATGGCTTTCTGTTGCTGGGGGAGATGACACCACTTCTTTTGCTGCCAAACACCTTTGTTTTTCCGGCCGTTCAAAATCTCTTTTTGCAGCAAATATCTATGGTAGCAGTACCACCCAGGGCTCAGTACTGGCCAGTTACACCATTTGATTGTTATCCCAAATCATCTGAAGTTATCCAACAACTAGTATTTTACACACCCCATCAAAAGTTAAGTCTATTCATCTGATATCTTTTATGCAGCTGATTGGCAGAGAATAGAGATTTGAAATTTACTTCTACTATTGTCTTACTCCCCATTCAAGTCTTCAGGAGTGACTTCAAATTGGAGAGTACAAAAGGGACATATTCAAATGGATTCACTTACCACAATGAATGAAAAAATCATCCCAAGTATAAAGAGCCCTAGCCAGTTGATGCATCCAACAATCACAAAGGCAGATGGTCTGAAGGACTGGCTGAAGATTTCAACCATGATGGCTATGGTGGCTCCAGCTGACAAAAACAAAGCACAAACAAGATATATTTGTTCCTTAGTAATTCTAATTCACCCTGTCCCTCAAAAAAACCCTCACAGTGACAATGGTAGTAGAAAGGGGTAGGAAAATCTTTTCCAGTTGCCTGGAAAAGTTGCTTATCAGGGGTGCTCAACCTCCAGCCCGCAAGCTAAATGTGGCCTGCAGAGCCATCACATCTGGCCCATGGGGCTCCCCAGAGTCTGGAAATTTGTCAGTGGGGGATTGGTGGCCATTAGTAAGCCACCCTCCTCCCTGCCAAATTTTCAAACCCCAAGCCCCATGTGGCTGGCTGGAATCAGGCTGTACCACCTTCCACTCATGTCTGGATCAGGGCTGGACCAGGCTCCCTCTCCATGGGCAGGGTTGGGGCCAGGACATGCCTCCTTCCCTCTGAGGGGCCAGGTTAGGCACCTTTCCCTTCTGGGGCAGCGTTGAGGTTGGCCTGTCCCCTGCCCCTCCCTGCATGGCCAGATGGTGACCTGGTCTGTCCCAGGTGCCAGATAAAGACCACCAGCCAGATCTGGCCCGTGGACAGACTGGGCACTGCCCATCCCACTCACTGGGGAAAAAGGTTGAGCACCACTGGCCTATCTGGTTGATGGCTTCTCTGTCATGCAAAAGTATTTCTAGTTCCAGAACCATGGTCTTTTCTGTTCTGGAAGAAACTGTGCAGGAACTCAGGGAAGGTTTACTTGTAGACCCTCAGACTTTACCAGTGATCACCAGGGTGGTTTTGGAAAGTCACTTCAACTCTGCATGTCCTCATCTTTGCTCCTTTATAAAATGCTTTGATATCTATGGATAAAGGGCACTGTGACTTGTTCTTATGCTTTGTTCTTATGCTTTGGTGCCATCCTGAATTTTTAAGCATGGTATGGACTCTGATAGGAATCCGAGCCTTGCTTTAGCCAAAATCGATGGAGATTTTGATACATCTTGAACATGTTTATTTTACATTGCAGTAAACATTGGGGCGGTTAAGAATCTGGAATTGAGTTACAGTGACTCTCGTTCCCATGTTAAGGAAGATAAAGAAAAATCATTTAAAAGGATTAAAATTTTAATTTATCATCCTAAATTCTACTGAACAATCTGGAAAACATATGTCAGTTGATCTGTATCATTTTATATCTTGATAGACACCCCCAATACAATAAACCACATTGTTAACCCATCTTCTCCATCTACTTTGTGACCTTTTCTAACACACCTCTTCAGTATCTTGATGCAAAATATGATTTTTATTTTTTTTTTATCAATACTATGCTGGGGAAATATCTAGAAGAGTATCTTTGAATTCTTCTTCATGATTTTGGAACATTATGGGAAGGAGAGGACTGCATTCTGAGTATTTATCTGAAACCAGTGCTAGAAGTTGAGATGGTTATGTCATCTTTTTGCTTTCTGCAACTCATGCACTTGTTAATGTATTTGGATAGCTAAGCAGCCTCCCTTTCTGCTCTGTAGAGGTGTTATAGCCTGGTATTGTAGTATCCTTCATGCAACAATTTTAATATAATCAAAGTTGCCTTCCTCATGACCTAAATTGATGTACTCACATGGTCCAAGCCCAAAGAAGATAACAAACAAGAAGATTAGAACAACACTGAAGTAGTGCATCCAAATGAATCTATTCTAGAATGAGAGAAAATAAGAATAAATAGTAAATAATATGGTAGAATAGCATGTTTCATGTTTTTGATTGTGATAACTGAAGTTAATTTTGATGATTATTCTTCAGCAAAAAGTCCTGCCTGGAAACTGGGGCTGGAACCAGGAATGAGAAGGAATAAATTGGAAGTAGGAATAGGAATAAGTCATTACCTGAAGAGCTAGAGTCACTGTAAGGAGTGCTAACACCACACTCATCAGTGTGTATCCTCCCCACAATAGCAGCTTTCTGCCAAAGCGCTCAATAAGGGAGCTCTGAAAAGCACAAAACAGATGCATTAACTCTTTCCCACTTTTTTCCTAATATTTTTCTCAGAGGTCTTAATCAGATGATGCAAACAGAAACAGAAGCAATTGTAAGAGTCTCTAAACTTCTGATGAATTTTACAGGCATTTGTTTATCATTTACACAGATGACCAAACCTTTAGATCACAAAGGCCAACATATACAGTATGCTTTGAACTGACTCCATTGAATTAGCTCAGAAATATTTTTTCTCCTTGAATATTTCTTTTTCAAACTTGTAAGGAAATGCCATTCATGTAGTCTCTCTGTGTTAGCCTTCTCCATTTTTAGTAAGCTTGTAGATCATACAAACATACCTAATCCTGCTTTTAGGAGTGAGCATTATATTACCAGGTAATTCAAGCCTGAAGCTTAGCCTAGATAATAAGGAAAAAGGTATGTGTGTCTGCAGGTGTCTTGTGGCCTATGGCGTACACTGAAATTCCTTATATACATAAGGATCAAATAGTCAATCAAGTTTCTTAGATTTCAGTGGCTGTTTAACTTTCTTTGAGTAGGGAAAAGCAAGGAATAGGTGATTGGTAGCCATTCTGTGTAAGCAATGATGCCTTGTTTTGCAGCTGTCTTAACCTAGAGTCAGTTACTAGACAGGCACCAGCACCTTGGCAGATTACATTATATTAGTTTTCTTTGTTACATTGTACAGTGTGATATAGGTCATCTTGCGCATAATTCAGAATCTCATGTACTTTCCTCTGCTCTATTATTTTGACTCTTTCCAGACAGTTTGACACGTTTCTTTGTTCTTTAAGAAGGCAGAAGCAGATGAGAAAAGATAAGTTATATGTACAAAAACTTGGTGGTTTTAATCCTGATGGGGACTTTACATATTACAGCTGAAAGCAAAGACCTTCAGCTGAGTTAGTTTGGAAGAAGGGATGGATTTTACAACTTGATGTTCTGCATTGGTTAGTGGAAACTTTTTTCTCTCCTTTTTAATGTAAACTATCTTCCCCACTTAAAAAATATTGTCTCCTAAATATAGTAACTTCTCCCTCAAAACTCCAGCTTGCAAAGACTTACACACAGTATTGAGGACAGACATTCACACAGCCCAACTCCCAAGGATACGTAGGGTATAAGATCTTCTTCAAATCTGGCTGTACGGAATACTTCAGAAGAATAGAAATAAATCTAAAGAAGTGTAGAGAGAACAGTGTGAACAATCCTCTTAGAGATGTACCTGTGAAACACTACTCATGTATGATGAGTACGTAAAACTTATTTTCATAGTAACTCTGTTGATGGTCTTTCGAGTTAGCCATGCCTTTCTGGCTCAGTTTACTGGTGAAGTGTTTGGGTGCTGCTTTTCCCCCTATATATTTGTTGGCCATGTCATAAGCACTCGACAAGAGGAAAATATCTGTCTGCTGGATCTGTTTTAGTCTCTACAGCTGCAGCTTTCTGGGTTCCCACTTCAGTGGCTCAAAATTAGACAGGTGTCCCTCTTGCCTCTGAGAAGTTTGTGTCCTTAGAGTTTCATATACCTGAATAAGAAGCTTCTCCTTTGGTCCTGCTTTACAACCCTAGTTTCCAGTGGCTGCGTCTACATGAGATGCTGACTGCACAGTAGCTCATTATTGCTGTGCAGTAGCTTGTTACTACTGTGCAGCAGCTTGTTAGTACAAGCATTACTACTGCGCAGTAGCTTGTTACTACATCAAGAAGCTGTTCGGGGATGCTACAGCACGGTAACTCCAGTTACTACACAGTCATTTAGTACTTGTGTATGCAAGTCCTAAATGACTGTGCAGTAACAACTGCTTAGCTAGCATCTTGTGTAGATGTGGCCAGGACCTCCTACCTCTAAGTGGGTACAAATGCATGTGCCTTAGAGAGACAGTAGTGTTTGGCACAGTGATGCAGGCCTGATTCATGTCACTGTGTATATCTACATGAGATGCTTTGCTGCACATTACACTAATCTAATATTTAGTAAAGCATCGGCATCTACATGTGTGCAGTAATTACTGTGCAGTAGATTAGGCTAATGCTCCATTTTCTAGTATCTGTAGACACAGGTATTAGAAACTGGCTCATTAAACTAATATGTTGAAGTGCACATGTAGATGCTGACTGGGAGCAAATTGCTCCCAGTCAGCCTAGGTAGCACAGGGTCACAGGGGGTGGGGAGAGCTGTCCTGGCTCAGTGGGATGCTGCCTCCCAGTCATGTGAAGGTTGGGACATGTCCTGATCTCCATGTGGCTGGGAGTGCTTTGCCCACTAACAGGAAGCAGCCTCCTGGCCATGTGGAAATCAGGATGTGTCCCAATCTTCATGTGGCTGGAAGCACTGCCTCAGCTGCCAGGCAGCTGCCTCCCAGCCATGTGAAGATTGGGAGGCAGCTGTCCGGCAGCCAGGAGAGCTCTTCCAGCCACATGGAGATTGGGAGGAGTTGGCAAATCTAGTACTTCAGTCAGTGTTCCAAGCTAGAAAATGGCAGAAGAAATTTAAATCATCCCAATCAGGGAAGCAAAAGGACTCATTTGCATTGATTCCTAGCCTAAGGGTCTATGATGGCTACCTAGTCTAAGTGATACAGATCCTAGAATCTCAGTATGCAAGATGGGGCAGCTGAAAGTAACTGTAAAATATTTCTTAAAGCTCCCTGACAGTAACTGAATTTTGAGTTAAGAATACACTCAACTGCATTGATGCCACAGAGCTGCAGGGTGGTCATGACAGTCATCAACATGTACAATTGCCAGCGCAAGGATCGTTCTTTTAAAACTTCCAGGACACGTAAGGTTTTGGTGATTTTCATTGCAGCCTTTTCCTTCATTATGTCATCAATCTCTGCTTGATGATCTCCTTCACCCCAGAGCTTCCTAATGGCTGTGCAGGGGAAAGAACTGAAAGTATTAATCTATACATCCATTCCTGGTGGTGTGTGTAAATGGATCCATTAAACCCGTCTGGATTGTAGAGATTGTCTCATCACTTAAGTTGGTCTTGTCATACTGGTTTAGTGGACAATGGGCGTGTCGACATGTGCTCTAGATTGCGCAGTTCATAGAATCATAGAAAGTTGGTTTGGAAGGGACCTCAGGAGGTCATCTAATCCAACCCCCTGTTCAAAGCAGGACCATTCTCAACTAGTTGTTACCATGCAGTCATTTAGTTCTTGCTTAAGGAAGTGCTAAATGACTGCACAGTAACCAGCATTACTGTGCAGCATTACTGAGCAGTCCTGATGCCGCACAGGTGTTTTTGCACAGATCTTTACCCAGTTTGGTATTGCATGGGTCTTTTCCTACGTAGTGTTGCAGTTCATGCCTGCCAACACTACATTGCCATAGCACTGAGCTATAGTGATGTAGCTCGTCACTATGGTGATGTAGCACCTTGTGTAAATGTGCTCAATGGCAGGTAGAGCAGACATGTTTGCTTTTGTTGCCCAGATTATACCAATTTTGTAGACAGCTTGAAAAGTTTGTTCTCAAAGGCTGTCATGAAGTCACCTCTTAATAACACAGAGTTAACTTAAAAACATATTTTAAGTTAAATTATTATATTTAATGCAAACATAAAATTACTAATGCAAAATAAATAAAACTACTTTTTGAAAAAATTTAGGTAGTAGGAGACTTAGCCTCTAAGTCTAACAGATCAGAAGAGGTACTGAAGTAAATGAGGGAAGTAGTAGCTTTACCTTTTCTGAAGGCTTCTTCATTCCCCTTCTGTATCAGGAGGTACGATGGAGAATCAGGGAAGAATGGGAGAGTAACCAGCTGAACCAATGCTGAGAGTCCACTAGAGGCTAATAGCCAGGGCCACAAGGATTCACTTCCTAATATTTCCCTGAAGAGTACATGTAAAAATGTGGTCATGATAAAATAACAACATTATTTTGAATGATCAGGAGAGGGAGAACAAATGAGCCAACTGCTGCTGGGAGCAATATTGGAACAGCACAGCTTAGTTAACAGGCTGGAAAATTTTGTGAAATTAATCAGCGATTTGGAAAACATTCCAGTGATGATCATTAGGAGATATAACAAAGCTTGGCAAGTTGCAATATTTTAATATGAACACTTTATTTCTTTACTAAATATTTGAATATGCTTTGCATCATCTCAGCACTGGCTCTAATATGTCAAATAGTGCCACGTTCCTTCAAATAAACCTAAGTTTCTAAGGGAAGCCAGTTGATAGGGTGTAATACATAATAAGAAAACCAAACTATGATTAATCACTTACATTTGTGTATCTTAATTTGTCAAGTAACTCATATTTGGTCAAAAACAATCTACTGGCTTATAACAACACATTTTAATGTGAAGATTACATTATTTTTTACGGATATTAAAGGTTGGCCTTAAAAATTGTAAAAGGAGCATCTCCTCTTCCATAAACAGCTAATTAGTAAGGCAGTAAAATAATGTAATTTACCTTAGTCCAACAAGCTGCCCTGAGACTTTTCCTAGAGTCAGGAAAACAGCAACTGTGGCATTGGTAAATCCTCGCAGTTTCTTGGGTGAAATCTCTCCTACATACTGAGGGTGTATGTTAAGAGAGAAACCTTGAACAGTGAAGAGGAGAAATTATGATTAACATAAAGACAAAATATGAACTTTCTCAACCCAAACCTCTTCTTGTGCTGTTCACTTCCATTCCGTATGCCACATCTTATATTTAGAATTTGAAGCTCTTTGATCAGGGGCTTTGTATTTAAATGATCTGAGGTGCCCAGTATGTTTGTTTCTTAAAATAAAAAAATTCTAAAAGAGAAGTGTACTGCGACAGCAAGGAGATTTCCTGTAGAACAGTTGTTCTCAACCTTTTTGGACTCAAGGCACCCCTCGATGGACTTGAAGCACCCCTTGGAAAATGCCATTTCTTAGCTTTCATTTGTTTTTTAACAACAGAAAAATAATAGCGCAATATTTACAGCAATTTTTCTGTGCAAAGAACTCAGAAAGACCACAACAGGTTCGTAACACTGGGTTCCTGTTCAAAATCTCTACATCCCCTTGTTGAGAATCACTGCTCTATCTGTTGAAAAAGGTCATACCTGTGCCAACGCCATAGAGAAGACGTCCTATCAGAATCATCTCAAAGGATCTGGCCATCTTACTGAAGCCCATAAAAAGTGCAGCTACTAGCATGATCAGGTTAGTAAACATTTGACACTTTTTTCTGTAAAAACATAGAAGAGATCACATGAGAACCTCTCATATTGCGTTTGCCTAATCTTGATGTTATCCCTTATGAATTATGTTTCTTAAATTTGTTAATTTAAACTGAAGAATAGGAGTTCCTGTTGCTTTTTATGGCATGTCTCAAATACATATAGACATTGCGTATTTAAAGGAAAAACCAACTGGTTCTTGAATTTCAAAATTGTGTAGCTTTTACTGTACAAGTGTGTCTTAACAGTGTGTGTATTGTCAGCATTTCTGTAGAAGGGGGTCACATGTCAGGTAGCTGTATTTGAACAACTGGTTGATCAAGGACTGTACCTTGAAGGGATACAGGGACTGGTTTGCCCACTGGGTAGTTTCATCACTAGAATTAATTGTAAAATATTCAAAGTCCCAGCTTTTCCCCCAGAAACAGTTTGACACTGTGGGAGCCAGTTTTAGATATGACTTGTATTAATGGACAATTTCTGCTACAGTTTAAGATTCAGGGTTTGTGGATCTGCCAGAAAGCATTTATCAGTAAGGGCTATATTGTGAATTTTGGGACTGATGTCTGCAGCAGTTTATGATAAACATGGCAAGCCACTATATTGAGCTCATTTTGGCTGGCCCTGATGTTTCTGGCTTTTACCATATTTTTATCATGTGGGTAACTACTGGACTTTGAAGCATATAAGTTACTGTCAGTGGCCTAGGAAGGGACCGTCAGGTTTCTGATTCAGATTGTCACCATGAACAACCCTGGGGAAAGGAACCTCTGAAGAATGTCTCTCAGACTAACTGAGGTCCCTAAGAACAGTGGCTACACACACTTGATCTTGAGAAGATTGATCTTGGAAGCCTTTAAAATGTGCAGAGAAACTATCTGCAAAAGTTGGCTCTGATCCTGACAAGGAGCTTGGACTGTTTTGCACAAACAAGCAGAGAAGAAGGGAATGGGCTCTTGATTCCAGTTATCAGGAAAACCTTCATGTGTGGGATTAGGCAGTGTCCCACAAGAAACTTCTTGGGGGCACTTACCTGGCAGGAAAGAACACAATTGCAGGCAGGCTAAGATGATAGGTGAGACCCACATGAGGGGCCTCTGGATCAGTGGGTGGCGGAGCAGATCTTTAAGTGGGACACACCAGTAGATCTGTTTGCCAATTTCTCTGCAAATGAAATTACTGATGTTACACACAAAGCATGGAGAACAGACCAGACTGGTGAGGAATCCTTTCTCCATCCACAGGGAAAGAACTTTTGGGACTCACTTTGAATTAGAGCGGGTTATCAGCAGTGATGCTCCATATAGTACAGGTCTCACTGTACAGACGGTATCTTTACAGAACAACTACAAGTAATTTAGTTTCCTCTTCTGTTCAGATTCACATTTTAATTAGACACTACTAATCTTCAAAACAATATTGATCCTAGAATGACTACATATATTTTAGCAGAATTTTTTCTAATGTTTTGGGTATTGGCTCTAACACTTAATGGTCTCTCATAAATGTTGAAGTCAAGCTCATTGATGTACCAGAATTGAAACAGTTGGATTTACTGGTGCACATATAGGCACAGGACTCATATTTATGGTTTTGTGATGCTTGGAATATCTTTATAGGAAATATGCTCCTGAAGCAAATGTGAAAATATTGGACCATGTTGTTACCCTCTCCAGGGCACTGATAGAGTGGGGTGTTGGTAGCTGTATCTTCAGGGGGAACCATGTTTCACCATCAGGGTACAGCTTAATGGCACAAAATGAAAGGCTGGTCGCTCCTTAAAATTGGGTGGGTATGATGGCAAAACTAAAGTGATTTAATTCAAGTAAATATTACATTAAACAAGAGGAAAGGGTTACTGTGTGTGCTTTAACAGCTCCTTTTTCACAAATCCTAATTAATAAGCTGCTAAAAGAAATACCTACTTTCTGTATTTTGTAGTGAGGTAGCCACAGACTATGCTCCCCAGCAGTCCTCCTATACCATACACAGACACAATGAAAGACCACAGGAGCTTCATCTTCTCTGAAGAGAGGGGAGAGCTATATCGTTCTATCCAGGTTTCATTGATAAACTTCTGAATGTGCTGAAAATAAATTTGAATTAATTAAAAAAATGTGGACTTTGCTCAAAGTGTTTTGCTACTGTACTTCACTGCTGCCCTTTGTTCTAGTCTTAGATCCCTTACCTTTGCAATCATCACTGTCACGACAAAATGACTAATATTATTTGGGCACTTGTAAATTTTTCAACTAAACTTTTATAGAATTGAACATTCAAGCATTTTTTAAAGGTGGAAAATGTACCTAGAACTTTATTTCTAGTTCTGTCAAGTCTTTAACAAAGCCACCTCTGAAATGCAGAAATGACAGGTAATCTTGAGAAAGTCTGGAGTTCTTTAGCTTGTGTGTTTTAATTGTGTCTTTTTCAAGTCACTGGGGCTTGCCATTAAGACAGCCTGTTGCTGACAGCTCAGGGAAATTTTTCCTTAGTTCAAATGTTGGAACATTGGTAATAAAAGGTTAGTGGTTTCTTTTTATCATCTTCTTGGTGTTTGGCTGTGGTTTGTCACAAATTCATGCTCTGAACAGGATCTGAGCTCTGGGCCTTTTACTCAGAAGATATTAACAGTATTTCCAACCCCAAGTATTGAAAATATGAAAGTCAGGACCCTGCTCAATGGTTCTTTATGTTCTCCTTCTGAGGAGACTGTACTAAACCAAATTGCAGACCCTCATGTCAACTTTTCTCAGCTCTTGAACTTTCCTTCTGCCTTGATGGAAAGGAATTGCTTAAGAACTGGATGCTAGAAATTGCAGAGGCCACAGACTAACACTTTGCTTAAAACTCTTTTTGATTAATGCATCTTCTGAGAAAGAATTAAGAGGGATGTTTCTCTTACCAGATGTGGAACATTATCTGTAACCATATTACTTGTTATCATATGTAGGAAATTCTTTCAGTTGTATCAGGGAAAAGCTTATTACTTTAGTCCAGTTTAATTAGGTTTAGATGCTTTGGATCATTATACAGTCAATGAGGAGAGCTGGATGCCTCCCAAGAGCTATCCAGAGACTGAAGGGGAAAGCCTGCACCCCTGCTGAAGCTGGGCAATTTAGAAGTCATGGAAGTAGGAGAGAAAGCAAAATGGAGAGTGTCTGTGGCTTAGTGGCTGCAGGCCCCTCCTTGGAACAGGGAGTCCTGGATTTTGGTACCTTCTGCCAGTTGCTTCTCTTTTTAACCAGTAACTGTTCTAATGCAAAATGCATAAATGAGTCCTGGCAACAAGCAAGAAAAAGCATGCACCTGTAGTCTGGTGGTTGTAGCCCTTTCCAAGATGGCAGTCCCCATGCCAGAATGCTTTATGTACTTTACATTTGACAGTCATTGGTTCAATGCTATAACCACCAGGCCACAAAAGTATGCTCTGTCTTGCTGGCTTGCCTTCTGACCCCATGACTTTTTCCATTTTGGCAGCCCAGTGGGTCATCTTTAACAGAAGGGGTAGAGACTGACCTCCTTTTGCCTGTTCTGTGGCTTGATGGGTAGTGCATTTTCTTTGAACATGAGGTGTACATTCAAACCCCTTCAGGGTAAGGAGAGCCTACAGTGCAGGTCTTGCTTCTGGTGATGGATTGTAACCACTCTGCTATTGGGCAAAATGTGGGCAATTCCTACTTGGGTTTTGAGCAGAACTCAATGCTCCTGAAGTAAGTTAGGTCTGCTCAGAATAGGTGTAATAGCTCTGGTCTCCGGCTACCTTAGACAGCTTCCCAACACCACACTGGATTGTACTGGAGTGCAGGCTGATATTCACTGATCAAACTGGATATTTTCTTAGCTCACCAGCTAAAATACAGGGGTGTTGGTGGTAGCAGTGTTGGTCTAAGGGCATAGGCAGACAAGGTTTTTTGGGTACATCCAATATCTTTTATTAGATCAACTAAAATGTCTAATAAAAGATATCAGATTTACTCAAGAGCTAAAAAACAGACATCTGGGGAACTTTGCAGCCCAAAACAGATGTACTGCCCAAATTCAGTGTCTTCTGAATGTGGGTACTTGCAAAACAGGGCCAAACTGGAGTGTGCTTTGGAGTTGTGCCTAAATCTTACTTAAGACCTTTTAAGTACCTCAGAGACCAAGCTGGATCGGCATTTTAACCTACACCAAACCAGCAATCACCCTACACACCTAAAAAGCTCTGTGATATACAGCCAAGCCCTCAGATATCACTGAATTTGCACT